GACGCAGGTTTTTGCTGGGATGTGGTGCCGGGCCCACAGGGAGACAGACTGTGGAGATTGCACTCCGCATGAGTGTTATGCCCTTCTGCAAGAAGTTTGGGATACAGAACAGTGTGGTTTGATGCTCTGTTCCTTTCTTTTTTTCTTGCGAGAGCGCCTGTCGCATGCCCTAGAGCCCAGCTGCTGTATTGAGAGGCTGTTGGGTCCAACCAGCATGCCAGTGAGACGTCCCTGCAAGCCTCGATTCACTGCGAGGCTTCCATTCGTTTCTGGATGCCTTTGTGGCTGCAGGATCTATGCAGAGTGTTGGTGACCGATCACCATGGTGTTTACTTATGCACGACAGAACGGCTTTAGAGCCGCTTGACTGACAAGAGTTCTGCAGTTCGCCTGAAAGCAGGGCTAAAATGAAGGCTGAACAGATGGCATCTCCAGGCTGAAGTAGCTTCCCTTCCGGCAACAGTGATGGCAAGCTCTGTCGGCAAGGTGCATGTGTCGTCATGTCCTTTACATTCTAAAGGTAAAGTTTGCAATGTTTCTTGCAGGACTTGAGCTCGGCTTACGAAGTTCTGAGCGATCAGGAGCCGCCGCGAGAGCTATGCACTGTGCTTCGACTAGGGCTGTTCTGCGTTTCAAGAGAGGTCTCGCAGACATCGACTGTTCTGCGGACCGTAGAGAGAACTTGGCTCCGGTAGCAATTCGACTTGCATCACCTGTAACTTGCTGAGAGAATAGTGGATAATTAGCGAGTTTTCCATGAGGTTTTGTAGCAGTAGATTTACCGTGGGCTATCCCCATGTCCCTTAGGACCGCCGAGCACAATACGACCAACTGGGTGATGAGGCAAGGAACTCCTACCCAGTAGTAGGGATCAAGAATCCGTTTGCTCCGAGACCTGTGTGCAGGGCTACGAGCAGGCTCAGCAGATTCAGCCCCGAGCACGTCTGCTCCCCTGCAAATCCTCACCTGCTACTTTCAGCTCACTTTGTACCTGTTGGTGTCAAGGCACCGGGTCGGACCAAGCAGTCTTCGACCTCTTCAGAAGCTTCTTTGCAGAAACGGGGGGTTTCGCAAGCTTGTTTGGTGCCCGCCATTCTGCGATGCCCGTGAAGGCAGGGCCCCACTGCTGTGAGCGAGAATGCTCTTTGGGGCAGTGAGGCCTTGTGACCCTGTCGGAAGGCTAGCATTCCTGTGACGCTGCAAGATGTGTTCATGGGGTCGATCAAAAAGGTCGGCATCAAGAGGCGCATCGGAAAGCCCGAGCGTTAACCCGCCTGCTTTCCGGTTGTCTGGGTTTGTTCAGGACATCTCCGTGCGACTCCTGTGTAGCCGGCGAAAGTCCCGGGCCTGCTTGTCGCACTTGCGAGGTGGGGGATGAATCGTTTCCCGCTGGGTGCACCTGAGAGTTCCCACGGTGCTGGCTGGAGTCTCTCAGCACGCGACTCATCGCCTCGGTCCAGGGCTCCGGAGTTCGGATCCGCCGCTTGGGTGGGCCAGGATTTCTTCAGGCAGGACTCGCTGCATAGCGCTGCAAGTGAAGCAACTTCATTCAAGTTCAAGTGTGCGTGTCAGACTTGCGTCAGTCTGATACAACTGTGAAGGGTACTTGTTTACAGGAGCTTGGACAGTGCCTGCCAAGTGCATGTAGAAGCCTTCGACAGCTAATGTGGCACAATCAGTAGCAGCTCAAGAGGCTTGAAGAAGAATAAAGAATGCCATTGACACTGCTTGATCAGTTGCCACTGCTACTTGTCCCTCACTGTTCATGCTCGATGTTGGTGAGCACGAGGCATTTGTTCTTGATCCAGCTTCTTGTGGAGGTGCAGATGGCCTGCCAAGACTGCCAGGGGCGAGGCTGGCTGTCCAGAGGCAGGTGCAAGCTCTGCCACGGCTGCGGGCATCGCGAGGAGACCTTTCAAGCCTCTGTGCTGTCAGTGCTCTTTGATCTGCGCCGAACGTAGATGGGAGCTCCTCTCCCGAGGAGCACGAGGTGCGGCTGACTGCGCGGACTGTGCGGCCTTGAAGCTCGGTGACTCATGGATGTGCTTGAGGCGGCACGCGTTGACAGGTCCTTCGGGTGCAGGTTGAACCTGGGATGGATGATGGGCGTGCTGCTGAGATTCGGGCAGAGGCTTTGCTTACAGCTGAAGCGGAACTGCAACATCTGTTGGGCCAAGGTCCGTCGTTCCCTGCCACAAGGCTGATGGCAGGCGCAGTCAGGGCCGCGGGCCGCGAGAGACTCCCGAATCTCAAGAGCCCGTGGCGCGAGGCTCTGCAGAGACCTGCTGGGAATCATCAAGGCACGGGCCCCCAAGAGGGCTCCCTGGCTTCGCGACGTAAGTGCTTTGGGGTGTCCGGCTGAGGTGCAGCCGCACCCACACTTCCGTCGTCACGGAGACGACCTACACGTGGCGGCGGCCTTGTTGTTCCATAAAATTCGTGTTTAGCGGTGTTCGGCCCTGGGCATTTCCATTTCCTGCTGAGGTTTTGCAGATTTCTTTGGCTGATGCCCTGACCGGCGGAGCTGCAAGGCCCGAGGCCTTGAGAAGTCTGCAAGCCATGCCAAGCCCGAGACCACAACAGCTCGTTTCTGCATCAAACTCATCCACCGGGTGCCCCTTGGCGCCCCTTTGCACTGAGGCTGCGACATTTGGATGGCCGTGAGCTGCAGGTTCACGGAACACCTGGCAAGGCAGGTGAGGGTCACGAGTCACGAAAGTCAGGTTTGTAAGGAAAGATACGCTCACGGGACAGCCAAGAACGTTCAACTACGAAAGACCCCAAGAGAGCATTACCCAGGGGTCTACGACCCAGGGTGTGTGGACATCAAAGCTGCAACTCTAGACAGCCGCATGCAGGCACAAACGACCTAGGTTCAGTGGTCTCGTGGTTCTAGATCGGAGGCATGCTCGTGCAGGTGATAAAGCCAGGATCCGTCCAGTACATCCGCGGAGAAGGCATGCCCAAGGCAGGACCTCCATGGCTGTGCCCTTTGTGCCTCTATAGCTGTCAGATAGTCCAGAAGCAGAAACCGTGACGAAGGAGGTTCAAGTGCCCTGAGCTTGTTTTCTTGGAGTGGGTCGAGGACGCAGTTTCGCTTGGAGCCGGACCAGGTAAAGAAAGAGCGGACGAGGAGGAAAAAAACCAGAAGGGAGTGTACGCATGGAAGAACTTAAAGCAGCTTGTGATCGGTCCCTGCATAGATTGAAGGCTGAATGAAGATGCCAGTGATAGCTAGTCCATAGGTAGAGCTTATTGGTGGCTTGCTCAGGCCTCCAGGGTTTGGGCTGTGTTGAGTTCATGCGTTGCAGGGACCAGTGTCTTAGGTTTCGAAACTGCATTGTGCTACTTTCAAACCCCGACCACATCGTCTTGCTCTTCCACTATCCTCAAACACCGCCTTTCTTCCTATGTGCCACTGACAGATGGGATCTTCACAGCGGGGGGACCTGTGCGTGAAGTTTGAGGCCTGTGGAGCTGCTGCCTTGCAATCTTCAATCCTGTTGGTTTACATTTCGCTTCGCAATGTAGATGGTCTAGGAGGACAGGCAGTATTTGACACTTTCGGGATATCTCATCTATCTGACTCCCGTCGAAACCCTTCACGACATGAGATCTTTCAGCATCAAGGTCGCATTTCCGGATGTGCTGGATGCAGATGGCGTGCAGGCGCTGGAGACGGCAAGAGCAGCACACAAAGTGAGAGGAAATGTATGGTCTTGCATCTTGCAAACGTCTAGACTTAGACTGCGGCAAATAGAAGTTGCAGACACCCTCGGAAGTTTTTGTTGTTGCCAGGAGCTCATGACAGCTTTGCAGCGCCAGCAAAAGGCAACCGAGGCATCATTGGTGGTTGAAGCCTTTAAATTATCTGAAACTAGTGGGAGGCATCGTGCACAGGGCAAAGCCTGCCGGTCGTGGTAAAGCGAGCGTTCTGCATTCTGATTTGGGGCTGCGAAACGAACACGCGCAGAAGCAACAGCTTTTGCAGAAGTGAATGCTATAGTTCACTTGAAGGGAGGCAGTTGGAGCAGCATGTTGGCCCAGGCAGGCGTGTCCTCGTCCTGGACGCCGCCACGTGAGCGGTCGCGTCTGTAGCTGCGAGTACTCGGTGGAAGCGGTGAAATCCCACCTTTGTGCGCACTGGTAGCCTTACAGCAGGCTGAACTCGGGCCTAAACCTGTACAGCGGCCAAAAAGGAAAGAAGTGTGATCATGGGCAGGGATACTGTGTTGTGCATGCCACAACATACAGATTGAGTATGGTCATCGTGCAGATAGACTGTGCAGCAGTTGGATTGGCAAGCTCTTTAAACCATCAAAGTCTTGCATTTCAACAACCCTTGCACATGATAAGAATGGAAGTATCCGACAGGGAACAGAAAGAGGCAGCAATTTGTCAAGGGGCCGCAGATGTAAGCAGGTCTGCACATGGGCTTGGATCCGCTTTCAGTCGCGTCGCTTGCCGAGGTCTCTACTCCTCGGAGGTCTTCTTGCAGGTGCTGCCTTTCGCAGCCAGCGCAGAAGCCGAGCCACAAGGCCTTCTTGTCGGTGCAAGTTTGGTAGAAGCTGGTCCGCTTCAAGACCCCAGTTCTGATCTCAGAAGTGCATCAATTTCGATGGTGCTGATTTCGGTGTCCTTGGAACGCGTAGCTTTGAATCATGCACTACTTGTGGGTAGTAGTACTCTTACTACTACTACTACTA